TTAAATCATTGTTTATTTACAGATGTAATTTTGACTTCAATATTCAGTATTATTTAGAAAGGTTTATAATTCATTAAAACTTTTCTAAATAATACTGAATATTGAGATCAAAATTAATGTTGTAATAAAAATTGAAAAAACTAAGAAGTCATTTCAAGTAATTTTTATTATAGTTTAAGTTTTTGATCAGTTATCATTTAATTAATTAAAGGGAATGGAGAATAATTGAGGGAGGTCAGAAATATTTTTAGAAAGAATGACATGAATTCAAATGTTTTTGGCTCTAACCTTGATGTACTGTGCATTGTCATCAATTTGTCGTCATTTATTTAATAATTTTGGGATAACTTTGCGGACCACTTTGGATGCTTTCAGGGACCACCAGTGGTCCACGGACCACAGGTTAAGAACCACGGGACTAGAAGTAAGAAAGATTCCTGTAATATGGAATGATCAGGAATACATCTAATATCTTTCTTGCATCAGTTTTTAATATATATTGTACTGTATGAGAGCAACATCCAAGCTGCTAGCATTACATACTACAGGAATATTAAAAAGTTTAATTATAGAGAGAATTATCACTAAATTTATCTAATTAATTAATTTGAAGCTTAAGAAAACTTACAAAAAATATATAACTTTTTTTCAAGTCTATTCTTCTTATCCTTTTTACAATCAATTTTTTAACTTTGTGTGTAAAAGTTTTAATAATCTATTATTATTGTTTTAATGAAGATTTAGTTATATCTTCAAGCCAATTTGCTGTTACTTTTTGTGTTGTATTGTGAAAAGGAAAGAAAGAATAGATTTGAAAAAGGTTTATATATTTTTTTGTAAGTCGTCTTAAACTTCAAATGAAGATAATTTTGGGTTATGTTGTCTTTATGCAAATAATGTGTGATTTTTATATTTAATTAATACAGTGGGTGATCGGTTAACGAACATAATCCATTCCAAGACTTTGTTCGTTAACCGATTATTGACTTACCATAGGTTTTAATGGGAATTTAATTAATTTGTTCTGAAGATTCCCCCCAAAATAAAAAATATATACTTTCTTACTATGTTTATTTGTATGTAATAATAAAAATACATACATACACAGTCTTGCGTTTTTATTAGTCATGTTTTTTCCGTTTGAAAGGGTTAAAGAATCTGTCTAATGTCAATTGCTTTTCTCTCTTCTTCAGGATTTTTCAGAAGTAATTAATAGCATTGTAATTGTAGAAATCCCCCAAGCCTCAACCTGGTTTGGATGCTATTCTAAGACCATTGTTCTGACATCCTCCCACTTCTTCAAAGGATCTTTAATAGCAGATATCAGCATTAATTCTCTTTTTCAGAAGAAAACATATCTCACCGAGTTTCTTGGTGTTCTTCATTTAAGAGTTCTTGGCATTCTTCTGTCGTCAGATCCATTTCGTCTTTCATTATGAACTCTTCGATGTTCTTTATTTCTCAGATGTGATATTTGTTACTCCTTCAGCTGCTTGAGTCTTCTTGATTATACAGTATCTTTCTTAAATAAGATTGAACTACGGCTTACTGTAGACCTGTTCACGCCATACTGCCCAGCTACATTAGGCATCTTCTGCCCACTCTTTATCTTTGCTATTATACTCTCACCTTTCGAAAAGAAAAACAGACGCAAAACTTAACGAGTGCCTACCCAACAGTCTCGCAAATACTTAAAAGAATTGTTTTTGTCAGAAAAATAAAAGGCTGGAATTACAAGGGAGAGTTTCAAACTTCGGAGGAATACTATCCGATTGGTATGTGAACTCCGCAAGGCATGTGGTCTGAGGTTACGAAAACACGATAGAAAGAACAAAGGGAAGGACAATGAACAATCGGTAGAAACGTGTGACAGACAAACAAAGGTTTATTTTAATAAAAGAAAAATGCGGTACAATATAGATCTCAATAACAGTCCAATACCGGACACAGATATCATAACAAATAACGAAATAGCCTGAGATTTCCCTTTTCGCTAACCTTCCTCACGCGATCCCCCGTTTTTCCCGACAAGTAATACAGATGGAAAATAAAAATATTGTAGAAGGAGTACCTAAGGGACTTGAAAAGTCTCTGTTGTAGCGGTCTGATCGTGGGCTTCGATGAAGAATTGTCTTCCTTTCGGGTCGCAACCTCCTTTCTTCTATCAACGGTCCAATCTCTTCTCAGTCGCTATTCCCTCCTTTCGTCCACGGCGTGCTCTCTCTTTTCTTCGAAAAACCAAAAAGTTCTTTCTTACTCCTTACCCCCACTTTTATAACTCCCTCCAACTACGTCACACTCTCCTGGACCAATCTGATGACGGAAACTTAGCCATCGGCTAACAGGTGGCACCGAGGAAGGAAACGGAAGGGAACAGTACAAATTATATGCGCGACGCGACATAAACGGAAAACACAAAATAAAAATATAATACAAACAGCCACGAAGTGCTACAGGTATATACCGGGTTGAGCATCAATGTCGACGTCTCCCTCACTCCAAAAAGTTTCGAATTGTTGCCCGAAGACAAGGGAAGACCAATCAGTATTCATTATTTTACGTTGCTTCTTCTCGTGTTTGTTCTGTGGGGTATTCATTATCTGATCGTGTGTTCGTTGTTCAAACATAAAAATCTTTCACAAAAGTGTTCGTTATCTGATTTGTTTGTTAACCGATCACCCATTGTATTTGATTTTACTTCAATGATTTTAAAATAAGATTGTTTCAAAACTGTAACAATTCCATGTATATATTTTTTTTCAAACAATATTAAAATTTATTAAAAATCTGTATAATGCTTCCAAAATTTTTTAAAAATTATTAAAAAAATTACAATGAATCTTAATGATTTTCTAAATGACTACTGGATTAAATCAAGCTACTACTATGTAATTATTTTCATTAAATAATTAAATTGTACAATTAAAATTCATTGCCATTAATTAATTAATAGCAACACATCCACATAGTAAATGGGAGATAAAGGTTCAAGTCCTTTTCCCAGCCAATTCTTTTCTTCCAGATTATTCTAAATTATGTATAAATTATTAATTTAATCATAATTATTAAGTTTAATAAGAGATTGTGCCTAATGCCGCCTGACAAATTATTTAGAAATTAATTAAAAATAATAGTGAAGATAGTAGTCCAATTTAATCCTGCAATTGTTTGGCATATTACTAATAAACATTGTGAACCAAAAGTAGGTGGATAGTAGGTGGAATGGGGTTTGTGTTAGGGTTATGCTATAACAATGGTGTATATTTAACTTGGTTATGATTGAAAAATTACATCAGAGATGCATTTCAAGAAATTAATACACAAAGATACTTGTCAAAAATGTTTGCCAAAGCTTGAAATTATATATATACACAGTCTTGCATTTTTATTAGTCATTTATTGTGGCAAACATTTATTAATTTCAAGCTTTGGCAAACAATATGTATATATATACATGCAGTCTTGCATTTTTATTAGTCATGTTTTTTCGGTTTTTGGGGGTTAAAGAATCTGTCCAATGTCAATTGCTTTTCTCTTTTCTTCAGGATTTTTCAGAAGTAATTAATAGCATTGTAATTGTAGAGATCCCTAACCCTATTAACCTTATTCTGAATTGGATGCCACTTGGATGATCATTGTTCTTACATCCTCCCACTTCTTCAAAGATCTTTAGTAGCAGATGTCAACATGGTCATCTTTCATTTTCCTCTTTTTCAAAAGAAAACACATCTCGCTGAATTTCTTGGTGTTGTTCATTTGAGAGTTCTTCTGTCATCAGATCAGTTTCAGGTTCTATTATGAGCTCTAAAATGCTCTTTATTTCTCAGATGTGATTTTCATTACTCCATTAGCAGTTTGAGACTTCTTGATATGTCTTTCATAGCTAAGATTGTGCCTACTGTAGACCTGTTTAAGACATATTGCCTAATAACATCAGCCCACTTTCTACCTTGGCTATTATCTCCTACTTGGTTTCTACGGTGAGCACAGTTCTTGACACTCCTCTTTTTAGGCTCCATAATATTATCAGTTTCTTTTTTAAATAAAAAGTTCTTTTCTGAACTTTTGGTTTAAAATTCTTACACTTTATTTAAAATTCTTAAAGCACTTACAAAATTCAGAGAACAGAAATCAACTAGCCCACAAAAAATTATTTAAATGCATGGCCTGGATGAAATTCGAAATTTTGTATTAAAACATTAACGAATATCCAGTGGAACAGTTAAACTTTCACCTTTTTGTAAATAAACCCTGACGCAAAATTTAACAAGTGCCTGTCCAACAGTCTCGTGAAGACTATAAAAAATTATTTGTCAGAAAGGTTAAAAAAAAAAAAAAGCTAGAATTACAAGGGAGAGTTTCAAAATTCAGAGGAGTACTATCTGATTGATATCAGGTTGATCATTAATGTTGATGTCTCCTGCGCTCTGAAAAGTTTCGAATTGCTTCCCGAATACAAGGGAAAATCAGTCAGTGTTTGTTATTTTTCGTCACTTCTTTTTATGTTTGTTCAGTAAAGTGTTCGTTATCCGAACATGTGTTTGTTGTCTAATCGTAAAAATCTTTCGCAAAAGTGTTTGTTATCCGATTTGTTTGCTATCCGAACTGTTCACTAGCCAATCACCAACTGTATATGTATATGAAATATCAATAAATGTTTTCATTTACTGTCCACCTACTTTTGGTTCACCTTATATATTAATGATTTTCAGTTAAAATTCAATGGGGCATAAAATCACATATAAAAATCTAAACATTTTTATCCAAATGAAATAACAGACTTTGAACAAACTTGAAATATAGAAGTTAAACTATTAATGGCATATGTATTTACATAATTTTTGATAAGCTCTTTTTTATTTTGAAAGTTTGCATAGTTTAGTTTAAAATGTTTTTCCCCCTCCTAAAAATTAATTGTTTTAGGAAAATATTTTCATTATAGAACAAATTATTTCATTAATATTGAATAAATATGTTTAAAGTGTGTGTTCTTTTTTCAGGTTTGCTCTATAGCTGATGATGCTAAGGGAGCAAGTGACAATCTGCAAGACACTCAAGGGAATCAGGTACAAAATCATGTATTAGATAAAAACATATCCACTACAACAGAAAGTGGTATTAGAACAGGATGTCTTCAGGAAACTGATACAAATATTGAAGAAGAAAAGATTGAAACATTGCAAGGTGCCAAGTGTATGGATGTTAAAGAAAGTACAACCTCATGTTCAACAAGTTTGCCAGCTCCTCTTGTATCTGTTACTTCTCCTAAACAAAATAACCCAAATAATCTCAATAACCAGTCATTTTTAAAATCAAAATCACAAACATCAGGAATAAATTCAACATTTTTACAAAATTCAAAAAGTCAAAATGGTTCTGGTGTTTTTGCTGAAAGTAGTGCATCCCAAAAGTTATCAACATCACATTTATTAAAGTCTGTTCTCAGTAACATGTGTGAAATTACAGAAGATGAAGAGTTGTCTAAAAAACGTCAGCTTGACAAAGTATATAAAAGTTCTCCCCTTCTTAATGGATTATTGGATAAAGGGAAAATTGCTCTAGTGGTGGAAAAAGAACAAACACCTAATGTTCAGAATGGTAACACAAGTACTTCTAAACAAGATGATGGAGTGAAGGAACCAAAACTGTTTGAGAGTGATTCCAATAGTTCCTCTAATTACAGTATAGAAGTAAGGAATACCATTGGTATAAATCATACAAATGGTGAAGGCATCTCTGTTGATAAAGGAAATGTGCAATCTACAGAACAAGGTACAACAGAAAGTCCAGAAAATTCCAATTTAGTGTCGGATTTGTCATCTATTTCAGATATTGCACGAACATTAGAAAGTGCATCAAAAGCAATTTCGCAAACTAATATAGAATGTCATGCTAATGTACCCTTTCCGTCTACATCTGTTACAACACCTAGCACAACTCAAACTATTAGGACGAGTCCACAAATTACAGTTGTGCAACCAAATTCACAAGTGAGGTTACCATCTACAACTTCAAATATCACTCTTCGTTTTCTCTATACAATACCACGAAGAGATGATAGTAATGAACTAATTGGTTTTCCTCGTGTGTCTCTAAATCAATTAAATCAATTACGTCAACAAACCGAATCTAATTCCACTGCAATGAAAAGGCCGTCCAGTGATTCTACATCTAATGCAGTAGAGGCAAAGAGAATAAGACCAGAAAATAAGATGGCTGTTCTAGAAACAAATGTACATTGTCCTCTCTCTGCAATTCCTCCTGTTATTATAACAACAACTAAGTCACCAAATAATGTGAATCAGGATACAAAATCATTCCAAACTACTTCAAAACAACAAAAAATTGAACAAAGTCGTCCACCATCTGTTAATAGTACAGATAGTGAATCAAGTAAAGAATCTCAAATTTTAACACAAGCATCTACAAGTACAGATAGTTCATCCAGTACAAATACATCATCCATACCCTTAAAAGTGCCATCTAAGCTTGAATATATTTGTGAGTGGAAGGGATGTAATCGGTAAGTGTTTTGTAAACTAATAAAATTTTAATTGCTTTAGTATTATAAAATATGAATAACAAAGTTAACAAATCATAAGGAAACATTAATAATTTTAAGAAGTTGATTAGTACTAAAATATTTTTGAATCATTAGTAAATAATTGTACATAATTAATAATAATAATAATAATAATAATAGTTAAAAAGTGACCAGATCCCAAAATTTAAAATGTGGGACATTAGACTGGATGCTTCAATGTGATATCAGATAAGTCACACAATTGATTCAGTAGATCATCATTGATGACAAATTTTACAAACAACCAGTGAACATTTTACTTGTATATATATTTTTGTTTATAAAATAATAACCTCCAGCAGTAGCAAAAATGAACAGTTAATTATGGCTCCAAGTATGACTTTGTTTACTTTAACTGCATATTTTTCTTATAACTCAGATAATTAGCAAAAATCATAAACTCCCTTTTATAACTGATCAGCAAGAAAATGTACTTGCAAGTAGTGCATATCCACTGTTCTCCAATAGACAAGGTTACCAGATTGAACAATAAATTGTCAATTGTCCAACTGTTTCTATAAATTGGATATTAAAATTTTTACACTAACTTCAGGCAATTTATTTTTTACTTATAATTCGTGCAGTGAATATTAGCTATTTTTGAATATACAGTAGCTTCTTTTTATATTGCTGATTCAGAAGCACTTAAGTCAATAATTTTTAAAATATCAATTGCCATTGAATTTTTTTTTTTTTTGCAATGAAATACAGTATTTTATTCTTACTATTGTCCTTGAAACTATCACTGCAGGTGAAACAATAAATTCAAGATATAAATAAGTAAAATAGGTGGACAGATCAATTATCATTTGTTTCCTTTTGACATTAAAAGTTGTTAATTTATTGGTTAGTCTCCTCATTTACAACTTTCTGTGATTTTGAAATTTCACACCTTTATTCATATAAAAGTGTGAAATTTTGAAACCACTGCCAAATGTGTAATGAAAAGATTTCTTTATTTATGAACCTAAGTTCATACTTATTTTGCTTTTTGGAGAACTTTTACTATCTAATTTTATATAACCCAAATCCAGGGATGCCAAGATAATTTGCATTTGCAAAAATACATAAGGAAGGCAAAGAGGTCAGACCTATACGTGAGAAATGCAGAGGACCCACATACATTCTGGAAAAACATTTACATAGATTCAATTCAGATGAACTAGGCAACAATGTTCTCCTTGCACAAAACTCAATGTAGTAAAAGAATTACAAGAATTAAGTTTACTTGATGAAGAAGTTGGGTCAGTTATGGATTTTGAAAACCTATATCCATCCATAAAAATAGAATCCTGTTATGAAGGTTTAATGGAATTTATGCTCCACATAAAATCAGAAGTTGGTGCATTTGTAAATGATATGATGGAATTAGCCAAATTGGTATGTTATGAGTCCTTCTTCAGTTTCGATAAACAAGCATACAGAAAAAAGAAAGAGGGTATCTATGGGAAGTCCATTGTCAGGATTATTATGTGAACTAGTTCTATGCAACTTGGAGAAATACATTATTAATGGGTTCAGAATGGACATTGTATTTTACAAAAGATGTGGATGATGTGTGCATTATTTGGAAAAACAGCAAGAGAATACACAAGTTCATACACGTAATCAACAGAGCAACAATGATGGATTAAAACTTAAACTAGAACAAAAAAGTCATGAACAGATACATTTTCTGGATATAGACATCCAATTGAAAGGATTGTATAGCAACAGGTAATTACATAAAACCAACACATAGTTCACTTTACATTCCAGCTAACTCGAATGACCCATATGGATACAAATTGTCTGCTTTTTGTGCATTTATTAAAAGAGTATTCATATTGCTCTAATGTATTAGACAAGGTGAAAGAGATTAATAGAGTCAAAGAAATAGTTTCAAAGTTAGGATATAAAAAGAGTACAATAGAAGGACTAATTAAAAGATATGAAGAACCCAAACAAATCAGTTTAAAATTGCCAAGTTCACTTATAATAAAAACATCAAGGACATCATGAAATAAGTATTGGACAAAAAACAGTCTAAAATAGTTTACAAAAGAATTCCTAATTTGTATAGTATTCTCAGAAATGATGAAGACATGCTTAAGAAAGAAGAAAAAGTGGGCATATACAGAATTCCATTTGAAAATCAGCAATTAGGAATTAAGAAGGACTATATTGGGGTCAGAAGGAATTTAGCCATTAGACTTAAGGAACACAAGTATGACATTAATAAAGGGCACTGCAACATAGTTTTGTCAAGTATGGCACAAGCAGAGGACTCTATAGTTAAATGGTGTGAAACAACTATCCTCAAGACTATGCGTTCCCTATCATTAGCTTTGCACAAAGAAAAAATTGAAATCTATAAAAGTAAATTAAAGGATGGTTGTATTAATGCCAGGGATGCAGATTGATTAGCTTCTGCATGGAAATTCTACATAAAAGAAAAATTAAAATATAAAAATTATTAGTCCGTACCTGCCCTTATAGTTCGATGCATTTTTATGTATTTATTTTATTATATTACTAGCTTACCCGTCGCGCATTGCTGCAATCTCAGAAGAAAGGAATTTTAAGCAAACTCATTATGATAAAATTCAATTTACATTTTATCATTTTTATTGAAACTTATTATTATTATTAATTTTCATTGGGAAAACATTTCAAAGTGTCGTTTCAATTCTATTTATTTATTGGCGTGCTTGTGGATACACGATATTTTTTGTTTTTCCATCTGGTGCATATACAAATATATCAGAAGGTTTTCCGACGCATGAGCTGGCCACATACAGTTGTCCATGCGAGAAGCACAGATTCTCCAAATTTAGCCCACACAGTTGCAGCGATTGTCAGAAGTGCGATATATATCCCCATTTCCCCATTTATATATATATATTTTTTAATCCTTTATAACAGTGGTTCTTAACCTTTTAGTGATGAGGGACCATTTATCAAAATTTTTGTCTTGCCATGGACCACGAGCTGTTTGGCAGTAATATAGGTTCTTATAAGGTTGTTCTATAATTAATTTATAGAACAACCTTATAAGAACCTATATTACTATATACACTCACTGCCAAAAGTTAAGCACGGAGCAATAAACTGCGAAAAAATCGACAAATACAGCTGTGATTGACACAAAATGCAGCAGGACAGTAGCAAATATGTTTATGCATGAAACAACACAGAGAGTTACATAGAAAAATGAAAACAATATTGAATTTTCATAAAGTATAAGATGAAATCATATTGGAATCATTAACAAAACGATGTTTAAATCCAAAACAAACAAACAAAACCGACATTAGTAGGGTAAATGGTCACCCCTTATCCTTACACAAAGTTTACAGCGTGTAACCATGCCTACCATGAGGTGATCAATTACTCCAGAGTCAAATAAGTGCCATTCCTCCTGTAGAGCAGTTTGCAACTATGTGAGAGTGGCAGGGGGTGGGAAACATGCACACACAGCACGGCCGAGGGTACCCCAAAGATTCTCAATGGTATTGAGGTCTGGCGAATACGCCGGCCAATCCATACGCGCTATTCCTTCACTCTCGAGGTAGTCGTCGACGAAGGCAGCTCTATGGGGTCGTGCGTTATCATCCATTAAAACAAAAGCAGGACCAACTGCTGCAGCATACAATTTCACAGTGGGTTCGAGGACTTCATCCCAATACCGGACAGCCATCACAGAACCCCCTCGATACATGTGCAGGTCGGTGCGATATCCCAATGAAATGCCTGCCCACACAATAATGCTTCTACCTCGGAATGCGTGATGCTCGATGATGTTCTGGGGTCGATTGCGTGTGCCTTTTTTTCTCCACGCTCTTACACGTTTGTCATCTGGCTCCAGGGGAAATCGCAACTCATCCGTGAACATAACGTTGTCCCAATCAGACACAGTCCAATTCACATGTTGCCGACACCACTTTAATCGTGTGCCTCTGGATTGGACGGATAGTGGAACACAAACTCGTGGTACCTGGGCGTACAGTCCGTTCATGTGTAGCCTTTGGCGCACAGTAGTAGCAGATATCGTTTTACCAATGGCTGCTG